ATATGTAAGAGACATCACATTTCATTAAATTTGAAATTGTTCATTACCGAAAATAGTCTAATATTAGGATGCACTAATTTCCCTTTAAGCGTACGATGTGCTATCAAATTTGCAAGCAATCCTATGTGGTTACAGGTATTAATTTCGTCAAAGAATAACCACAATTCGCCATTATCAGCCTTTTTCTGAGCCTTGTCCATAAAATCTAAAATATCTTGCTCCTTAATTCCTGCATGAAGATTGAATGGTTCATAATTAACTTCGACTACCTTGGCCAAGAATCCTATTAAACTAGACTAAATATCATAAAATAATTTATTAGTAATTATCTATCTGAACATGTAAATTAAATAAAATTTCTAACCTTGCCACATCCGGCTTCTCCCATAACGACAACAGGAACATTCGCACGTGACCTTAACAATATTAATGCCATTTTTATTATATTGTCTGCTGATAGTGCATACAGTGGAAGATCAATATGATACATCGTTCTACGCGCTAAACACTCAAGCTTTTCTAATAATAAATTAGACGCCATCCGATTATAGTCATCCAATTCCCACTTGCTTGGACCAGCCATGAATTGACTTTTAAGAAATTCTTTAACATTGTCAGGAACCTTATTTTTTTCACGATACAAAGCACAAATTGAATCTGGATTTTGTGACATGAAACAGACCAAAAGATGATTAGATGCATCCCATTGAACTATTTCGAATTTCGCCTCATAATCATCAGATGTTGATTCTAATTGTGCCGCTTTAGTCTTTACTGATCTGGTCGCAAACTCTTTAGAAATGTCAATTAACGTCTTGACTAATGTTGTTCTTAGTAACGTTTCATCTTTTATCATCAACTTTAAATTCTCAACTGTGAAATAAGCACTTGACGAAAGGCGAATAAGTTGATTTGCTAGTACATTAACAAATATTTCCACAAATCGGAACGAAGAGATACCATCAGCGTTTCCTTCAAAGAAGTATTTAGCTATTAAATCTTGACACTTTTTAGCTGGTAACGGTTTTTTTATGCACTTTTGACCATGAAACACCACATCTCCTACATCAATTTCATGCTTATCATATGCATCTAAATAATTACATACAATTTGAATTGGACTACATATCTCAGAGGATACGTTTATGCTATGAATATTCCAGGATAAATGTTCTTTTACTAAATAGCCAGTTATAGGAAGTGAATTAAGCAGTTTCTGCTGAACTGTTGATGCTACTTCAATAAATACAGGTGTCTGTGGCAAACTCGCTATATCAACATTACTAGAAACAAACCCTAATGTCAATAATTCAAATAAGAACATATTGATTTCATTGGA